ACAGCGTTGATTTATCGGCGAACCAGTTGGTGAAATGCTAGAAGTTGGTTGTAAATAAGACCTATGTAAGCAAGTTGGTCAACCTTGAGGAAATGAAAGCTGTTTACCCAAAACTTTACGGACTTTCGAAAAATAATGTTATTTAATTGGTACCTCGGTACCTGCTGAGCGCTTTTTTTCAAAAGATGGTTCTCAATAATTGCAATTAATTGCAATTAATTTTTTCTGGCTTGCTATTAATCATATGATCAATCAATCGATTATTATTATTTTTATTTTTCATCACTACATAAAACTAAAACGGCGCAGCATTTCCCTACTTAGAGAAGGCGGCAAAATAGGTTGACTTATCGGTAAATGAGGACAAGACATAGTACCCTCTAACTATTAGCAGATATAACTTTGAAGTAGTGAAGGTATTTGAGCCAATTTACACTACGACTTTTCACCCTGCGTTTTTTGCGCGTTCGCTTTAAAAAGTCTTCGAAAACACTCGTGCATTTAAACGATGACTTTTTCTTTGCAGCGAATGGCGAACTCAAAGTAAAAATATGAAAAAGTGTATTCGATAAGAGCGAAACGTCAAAAAAAAACCCTTGATTTCGCTCACCGTACGTGCTTGCCTACCCCGCTGACACCCAGGGTGAAAAGTGATCGTGTAAATTGGCTCTTTGTCTACCTAGGATCTAATATTTACACAATCATTAATGTCAGCTTGTCAGTGAAAAATAATTACTGCCAATAGGCGCTAAATACTTTGGCTAGGTAGGCAATTGAAAAGCACAGCCCTCTCTAAGGATGCAAAAATATATCTACATATGTATGTATTTCTACATCAATGCATCGATTAATACATCAATGCTTCGACATGCATAGTATTTTTCAGATGTTATTTCACAACAAAATGTGTTATTAGCGAAATTGCACAAAATTTCAAATTAGTTATTATAACTGAGCTAATTATGTTTCTCATGTACTATTGCATCAGGGCAAAAACTTTTTTTCTAAAACCATAGAAATCAGAACAATTTTAATTTTAAGTCATGAAAAATTCTTCCTTAATTTTCAGGTTTTTTTTAGAAAAACTCTTGATTGCAGGTCTGTTGT